ATGTTACGTTCACCAAAAGACCACCTTCCTTTACAAACACCGGGTGTCTATAAAGTGAACTGCAGTTGTGGGAGCTCGTATATCGGTCAGACTAAACGAGCAATTGTCGATCGTATGAAGGAACACATCCGAGCAGTAAAAAACAATGATGCATAGAAGTCGGCTATAGCACAACATCTCACACAGACTGACACTAACCACTGGATCGAGTTGCATAGCCCCAAGGTACTCTCGATAGAACGTCACTACATACCACGGTTGGTACGAGAAGCCATCGAGATCACGAAGTACAAAACATTTAACCGTGATGATGGTTTTAAACTGTCCAGTGCATGGAATCCGGTCCTTAGTGCGTGTAGTAATAAAAACAAAAACACCTCGAGTTCAGTTTCGCGTGGATATAGTGAGTGTGGTTTGTGTGAAAAAAGTGAGTGACAATGGTAACGCCACAACAAATCGCGATGAAGGTAGTCGTCGACAGCGCAAGAGGGTAGACAGATATGTCTGCTCTTAAAGCTGTCATCTGCCGCCATCCAGTCAACCCGTGACCATGGAGCGTGCAACCGTTCCGAAATATCGGGAAAATAAAAAGAAGTCATACCGTGGTAAGAAACCTGATACTAGTGATAATCATTTTGTCAATTTATGTTTCAGGGTGACGGACGCAGTGGCAGTGCCATTCAGATCTTGGCGTTTTAAAGCTCTGAGTGGCACTGCAATTGCTATGGACAAGCATGTCGCTGACTACCAAACGCATGACTTGTTCGCCCCGTCATTTGGTATCATAAATATAGTTCTAAATGTGAAAAGTGGCCGGTCCGTCGGTTTTGTATGGGATAGATTTAGCTGATTGTGCGCAGGAATATTTCTATACAGTTCCACCTTCACCGTTCCCTCTTTAGTTGACTAGACAGTCCAACATACTGCATTCTTATTTCGTGTGTTTATTTTACATCATTATACTAAAAAAAAATGTGTTCGGTATTTGTATTAATAATTATAGCAACTAATATATAAATATCATGGTGGTAATACACCATGATATCCAATAAAATCAATATTACAATGAATACAGCGACATCTACATTAGTATCTGGTAGCTGTGAAGGTACGGGCTGGACGAGAAGCTTCGTAAGTTTCTCACGGGTGTCACTTACGGCGATAAAAGTCGAAAAAGTCCAGTTCAAAGATCTATAAAAACAGAAATTGGTAAGATCTGCTGACTGACTGACTACGTCGAAGAAATTTTCCTTTGTGTTCGATATTTGTATTAATAATTACAATGCTGTGGTTAACCTTAAATCGGTCAACTGGTCCACCATTATACTATTTTTTTTATAACATCAAGTGTCGTGCGCATGATGGTAAGCTACACGCCTGTCCATACCAGTTATAGTGTCACACAGAGCTTTAAATAGCAAAGATCTGAGGGGCACTACCACTGCGCCCGTCACCCTGAGACATAAGTTGACAAGATACCTTTAATTTCACTAGCACCATTACCCTTGAAAACCGAAACACAGTAATGCTGACATTACTGCTTGGCGGCAGAAATAGGTAAGGTTAGGCAGTACTACCCTGGAAGAGCTCTTTTATAAGGAGCTCTACTGCAACTTCTTTTTTTAGTTTGTTTTTATACAAGCGCACTTAGCGCATTTGACCTCCATCTCACCTGATGGAAAGTGACGATGAGGTCGATGTTGGCGCATGCACACCTAAATAATGCCTATTCACTATATATTTCGCCTTGAAAAGGTTCAAGTTATAACATTCAGGGAACAAGTCGGCAGGCAGGGAATTCCACTCCATAGCCGTTCGCCATATGAATGTGGTAGCGTAACTCTTCTTGCGAATCTTTGGAATATCCACAACATAGGGGTGGAATCCAGGCCTACGTCTAGTCCCCCGATGATGGGCAGGGGAAGGCGGAATTAAATCTTTGAATTCCATCGCACACTCTCTGTGTTGTCCTGTAAAATACCGATAAGCAGGCAACTTTACGGCGGCGTTCAAGGCTCTGCAGATTCGCCTCTACTTATTCCGAGTCACCTATAAGCCTCTTGGCACGTTTGTCTATTGAATCCAAGGTGGCCAGTTGATATATAGCAGAGCCATCTCAATTGAGGAATTCTAATACTATCGTAAAATATACTCACTGACTGTCGCCGATCCTGACATTTTGATTTCATACATCTTATTATTACAGTTGACCTGCAGTTCTACTAAGTCAGTTGAACTATTATTCCTATGTGCAGACGTGGAAGCCTGATTGTTGTCTACTCGATCTGAAACAATACAATCGTAAACTCTTGATAATGGCATTGCGTAATAGCGTTACCATTGCGTCTATCATTATCGACCTAGCACGGTGTTATTCTTCTTCAAAGCATAAAATACGTTTTTGTATAATAATGTCTCTTCTATTTATTCACAATTCATCTGAAATATACATGTAGCCTGTCATGAGTGATAATTAAAAGAAATAACATTTTGATTTTACTTAAAAAGAAATCGCACTTTGTTTTATTAAAGTTAAAATGATTTCATTTGATAAAACTGTGCAAAGTGTTTTAAGTAGGTTTTGTTGGGTTTGTTGGGACTAGATAACTGGATTTGACTTAGATATAGTAAAGTTCTAATAAACATTGTACGTGCAAGTTTGCTCAAGATTTATTATTTACATTGTTTTAAATATAATCACCATTTATTTCCATAATTATGTATCAATAATGTATTGGAAGAGTTGTATAGTGAATCATTGGAGACTGGAGGCAATTAAGTGAAATTTGTTATTTCATGACACTGGGTGTTAACTAACTTGGATTCTTATTTTTATACAGGCTGAAATTTTGGTCAAGTAGGTGTCAACATTTAGTATAGACCTTTTCACGTTAGTATCGAAGTTGAGTTGACATTTTTTGTGATTTAAATGGAGTTCCCATAGTAAAAATTCTTTGCATTGATGAATAGAAATACCTCCTAAAATGTCATCATCATCAACCCATTTATACATCCCACTGCTGGGCACGGAGTCTCCCCTCAGCCGAGGGTTTAGACGAAAGTCCGCCAAGGTGGTCCAATATGTGTTAGGGACATCTCACGTTTTCCGAGGGTTGTGAATCTTCTTTCACGATGTTTTCCTTCACTAAAAAGCTCATGATAGATTTCAAATTACATTTCGCACATAAATTTCGAGAAACTCAGAGGTGCGAGTCTGAATTCGAACCCACGGCCTCTGTCTGCGAGGCGGTCAAACCAGGTCAAGCCATTAGGCTACCACTGCGTAAAAAAATCGTGAATTAAAAAATATGACAATCTCTATTTTTGTACTTTAATACACACACACACATGCACACAATTTTAGTTCCGGGATTATATGTACGTGTATAACATCTATGCTAATAAAGTGCTTTATGAACATAACTAACCCGGTGGGCGTGTTTTTGGAGTTATCACAGATATATCTTCATCTATCATCTCGACGTCGTGCGTTTCTCGGTCCACCGTTGATGAGTTTCCATCTTGTGGCATTACTCGGTTGATGGCTGCCTGTATTTAAACAAAAAATGTTTATTTAAAAGCTGAAAATTTATTTTTGGTCCATAAAATGGTGGTCCTAAGCTCAATTTATATTGCGGCGGAATGGAATCGAAGCAAATTTTTGTAACGATATTGTACAAAGCATAATGAACTCTATGGTCAATTGTGTAACGTACAAACTAGATACGAGCCAAAATCTTCTGCAAAATGCGCGAACATACTCGAGTATGCGCATTTACAATTTGTAAGCATTGTATAATAGTACAATACTAATGTACAAATAATTTTTTTTATAACTAGATCAATACTAATAAAATTGAGTTTTTCCAAAAACCATCACAAACAGAAAAATAGGTACAATTGACAATGCTGCACTACAGACTCTGTGTCATAACATTCATGATAAAGTAAAGATAGAAAATAATTGTAAGACAATCATACTTAGGGGTATCAAAAAGGACTACAGGAGGTACCTGTATAAATTATGTAGTGCCTGGAAATATAACACTGTATATGTATCAATGTATGCAGATATTATACATTTGCGATGGGTTTCTTTTACTTCTAGTACTGAAATCATGCATTTTGTGTGCAACTATGCATAAACTGGATTAAACAGTTATTTTCCTTCAGTCCTTGATCAAACCATTACAAAGATTACCAGTAGGTTAGGTGCATATTGTACAAGAAGTCAATATTATAGTGAAATGTGATTGGATATGAAACTATTTTGTTCAGATCTAACTTAAACCGATTGGCAAATTCTTTCACAACAATGACAGGCGTTGTTGTATATGCCATCAATACAATTAGAAGAACACTGATCTCTTAAATTAGTTTTTTCAAACAAACCAATATTTTGGGCTCTTTACAGGTCCTATGGTCACAGATGACTGAGATGATAAAGTGTTTATTATTTACAGTATTTTCCAGGTACAGTCAAGAGCATATCAAGCATGACACTTTCTACTTTGAACTGTTCTTATCGTAAGCGTCATAGAGTTGGATTTAAGTCTTAAGCTTGACGTGCTCTTAACCGTGTACACTAACACCAATTATCCAGTCTACAAACTAGGATATTAATAATTAATTGTAATTAAAAGAATTACTAGTTGACAAATGTTACTACAGCTTAAATAAATATATTGACAAATTTATGTAGTTATCTAATTAAATTTAGTTTTTTTTATTGTGTTTATTTTTGGAATTGATGAACACTGATGGTTGGATATTTGGCATGTAATATAATGCAAATTATATTTTTTACTACTATGTTTGTAATGTGTAAAGTAATCTAAACATGAAAAGTAGTGAACTAAGTGCCATACCCCTACAGCGTGTCATAGTAATAAGTTGTCTAATGGAACTTGTATAGTTATGACATGTATTTTGAATTATAATCCTCTGTATTACGAGTATCAGAGTAACATAACTTCAGGAGTACTTTTCAGAAGCCATTAAAAAAATATTTTTATTGGGAATTGACCCCAGACTGCTCACTGCCCCATCACTGAAGCACTATAACTGCAACAGCTATATCTTAGAATATAAAGTGATATTACTTAGTTGTATTATCAGAAGTCTCTAAGCCAGTGTTTTAGAGAGTTTTAAGTTAATTTTATAAAATGGTTCAACCTGGTGTAAACTCAAAAATAATACGAATAATAATGTTAAATGTACTTAGTAACCATGATTTATAAAAACTGAGTCATAAAAAATATGTAATAAAAGAAATCTATTATCTACTTATTGATAGAAGCAGCTTATAAATCGGCTAGATTACTGTTATTGATTTCTAGTTTACAATTTAGTATCTTATACTCACCAGTAAGTCCCAATTGGCTTCTTCCAAGTGGTAAATAGCTTCTGCTACATCTTCTATGGCTGTTATTCCCTATAACAAATACACAAATGATAAAATGCTTGCTAACAAAGAAACACAAAAGAGTTTACTATAAGGAAGTTAACTAATGAATTCTAAGATGTAACTAAAGTGCGTATTACTATAAAGTTCCCTTTCCAAGTTCGCACTGACCTAAGACAAAGGTAGAATAAAGAAAAATGTTTTCTAACTTATAACGGACTTAACCAGAAATTAATGTGAAAATTGACATGACAACGAAGTGATGTAAAGAAAAATGCCATGAAAATAATAAAAAAAATTACGGAAAACTTATTGTATAAAGAAATAATGAATATTTGTTGGTCACTGTTGTTGTTCCCGACATAACCTTCACGGTCACGGGAAGCGCAGGTTTCACGCAGACGTTTGTTCATAAACTAATGAATATAAGTATAATTACCTGAAAGTTTGCTAGAATTTCTTCTCTGTTCTCTGCCATCGCGATATTAATGAGCTCAAAAAATATTACTTGACATTTGAGATTGCGACAAATCACTCAAACATTGGCCACAAACAAATTGAAATTTTTTAATGCGTCAATGTTACCAGTTTATATAAAAAGCATGTCAAATGATAAAAATGTCTATGGTCGACTGTTCATAAAATCTAAGAGGTTGGTCACACGAGCGTTTGTTTGCAAGAATTCATTTTATGCATTCGTAATTAAGTCGCGTTTAGGGAGTTGTATTTAAAATCATAAATTGTAAATTACCACCCACAACCGGTCCTGCATTTATCTTGACACGTGATATCATAAATATTTGAAAAGAAGTATACGTGTTATTGAATATCAATTAAATACTTACTTATTTGTTTTGTATGTTTATAAGATTATTTAATTTCATAAAATAAAATCTTAAATACTCGTTCAGCCGTGAAACTGTTTGTACCTATTAATGAGCTTGCAAAGTGTATCTTACCTTGCAACAAGATTGGTGATTCACTATTTGAGATCACTCCTTTACGACAGAATCAGTCGAGAAGCGCGCGAGCAGTCCGCGCACGCGCTCTGTGCTTTGAAAGTTCATATCCGGTGCGTGAAAACTTTGCGCGGGAAAATTGTTGACGAGTGTTGAATAATTGACGCGGTAAATATTTTTTAAGTTTACAATTTACTTATTTCTGTTTATCGATATAAAGCTGGTTTATTAGCTTTTAAACAATACACATTCAGAGGCTTATTCAACGAAATGTTTAACTTACTGACAGCATATCTGACTTTAATTATTTAATTGTTTTTTTCGTTTATTTTATTTTGCGATATTTTAGTTTGCGCATATTTGTTATCGCCTAGAGTTTATCTCATTTGATGATAAACTGAACTATTTTCATATATTATTATTATTAAAACTTCTGCATTACATTTTGTATTATAATGTAGGTATGTTTTGATAATATTATCAGTTTTATTGTATAGAAACAGCTGTAGGTAGTAACACAAATAGATAGTAGCATAATGACACAATAGTATAGTAAAAATATTGTATAGATGTTATTTCGCTGGAGCTTTAATAACTATGATAGATATAGTGCGTGAGGTCAAAGAATGTTAGGTACACTCGGTTATGTCTTCGTGTGACATTGACAGTGATGTGGTTTTGAGATCAATGTTTAGAAATGAGTAACACCAATTTTATACGGTTTGTTCATACTGTCTGATCTATGTACATACCTATAATAAAATTGCACACGACTGTACTTTAACTATATTCGTGGCGCTGTTTTTGTGTTTTTTAGAAAGCGTTGTGTACATGGCCACACAACTACGCAATTTAAAACAATTGTTAGATATACTCGTATAACCTTATTCATAATTTTTGATCCAGGTATCATGGCACTAGCCATGTGCGCGCGCGCACTCGCGCTTCTCGTCTTGGTGGCAGGAACCCACTCTCTCACCTTGGACGAAGGTCAGTATCAGAACTCCTCCTTAGTAATTTCCTATTTCTGAAGAAGGTCAGTAAAGCCGACATGACGCCGCTCTGTGGGGTAGGCAGAGACTTCAATACTCAATACTCAATATATTTATTGCATTCATATGGTAGGTTGGTCGTAGGGTCTGGTTGGTTGGTTGGTAGGTAGGTCTTAAAATTAAAATGATGCTACACATATGAGCCCTTTATTAGGGATAATAATAAGAGCAGAGGTAGGCCAAGGTTTCAATTATTAATTAGAATTGTTATTTAACATAATAATATAAAATAAAAAATATGTCATATAATAAGAAACACGTCATATAATAAGCACAGTTATGTCACTTGAAAGTTTGAATTTAATTAGATTACAATAGCATAACTTTATAGTATATATTTATAATTGATTTATTATTATTAAAATTTAATAGAATATTATTTTATTTGCCATCAAAGTAATCATTTAAATTGTAATAGCATTTATTAATAAGATGTAATTTTAATTTATTTACAAACAGTGAATATTTTTACTCGTTTTTAATAATGGGCGAGAGGTCGTTGAATATCCTCACCGACATCGAGTGGGAACTTGAGCTATGTGTAGCTGCGATCGTGGCAGAAGCAATCTATTGCGTGGTCTAAAAGTGTGTCGTTGAAATTATGATCTCCATTTGCTTTTCATTGTTGTTAATGAAAGAATAGATTTTTGTATATATCATCATCATTAATACATTTACATGTCCCACTGCTGGTGACACGAGACTCCTCTCAGACGGGGGTTTAAGCCACAGTCCGCCGTAACCCGCATTGGGCCAGCGTTCCAATGCGGGTTGGGGACTTTACACGTTTTCCGAGAGATATTAATCTTCTTCGACGTACAAGTTTCATCACAATGTTTTTCTTCACCGAAAAGCTCATGGTAAATTTGAAATTAAATTTCATACATAAATTCCGAGAAACTCACTACGAGCATGGATTTGAACCCATGGCTTTTTAAATTCAAGTGACGGAACGAACAAGTCGTGCGCCTGATGGTAAGCTACACACATGGTACACAGCTTGACACTCAAAGCTTTAAATCGCAAAGATCTGAGGGGCACTGCCACGGTGCCCGTCACTCTGAGCTCGTCGGGGATATTGTAAATCCGGGATTTAACATTATTGCTTTGTTACTTTAATGGCTACTACTTTCATTTTTGCACAGAAAGCATTAATTTATGTTATCTACGGACTCATAACAATTGATTTCCGTAAATCACGCCAATTTGTTGGTTACGACGATTTGATTGGGCCACTAAATTACCGAAATGGAAACTCATAATCCAATGCTAGTTACGCGTAATTTGCACTATCTCTGACGATAAGTTCACAAGCCCTACCCTTAACCTTTGAAACCGGAACACAGTAATGCTGACATTACTGCTTAGCGGCAGAAGTAGGTAAGGTTAGAAGGTTGGCAGTACTACCCTGGACGAACTCTTTCACAAGGAGCTCAAGCTACCGCCTCCCAAGCAGAAGCTTCGAACCATTAGGTTACCAGGGCTAATATGCTTGTTAAAGTTTCCTGTATATAAGGAAAATTATTCCCTTTGTTTCCTTCTATATTTTAGATATTTTATCTTATCCATGTCAATTCATGCTCTGACATTCCTTAAGTCAGTTAGTTTTTTAACTTAAATCTTTCATAATTTTAATGTATACATAAATTTCTATGTAGCATTATTATAAATAAATAAATATGTACTGCCTAATAAGGCACTTATTTTAATTGGTTTTTACTTATAGTTCTAGACATTTATGACTAGAGAATCATACATGTAATGATTTAATTTATATTTTAATTTTACACCAAAAGAAATCACGATGTTCTACTTTATGAAAAAAAAATTGTCCTACGTCCGTCAATTACTATTGGAATATTTTATAGATCGGGCATAGTAAAAGTCAAAGTCTAATAATCTATAATTTATAGGAAGCAAATTCCACATGAAATCGTCATATTAATTACTCTCTACTACTCTTTCGTAAGGTAGATTCCCCTGAGAAAAATGAGCAAGAAACTGAACAAGAAAAAAGAAGGGGTTCTTTTTTGATTGTGCATTTCAAATTAGATTTTAAAGGTTCTAGTTTTAAATTATAACTTTCCTCTTACAATTTTCCTTCAAGTCACCATAATCGCAAATCGAAATTGCATTCAACGCAGTGTTCACAGAATGTTCAGTTAGCCTTTAAATTAAATCCGATAAAGAAAATTCCTGATTACGCGACCGCAATGTGAACAGCGTGAGGTTCAAATGAAAAGAGCAATTGCAGTGGAAAGTTCCTATAATCTGACCTGTTGGCTTTTTTGTAAAAGGTGCCAAAAGGTCGAAATGTTTCTATTGACATCTGAGTAAAGTATTTGAAGTTCTCAAAGACCATAAAGTTGTAAAGAGTCAAAACTTTATGTGTACTTATTTGAAGCCCTTTCCAAAATTTTAATCTTGATTATTATTGATACAAAGATTTAACAAACACAACGAGCTTGACCGTGGCTACCGCTCTTAAAAGCTGTGCTACAGATCGAGTCTGCAGATGTTATGAATTTCTGTACGTGCTTGCTAAGGATCTTCGTATTGAGTTTAAACTCCTATTTTGCTAGCAATAGAGTAAAAATAAAACAACGACATTTTACTTTTTAGCAGCCTACGGACAGGGTTTTATTTAGATTTAAGCGGTCCCTACGCTTAATTAACTTGGCGCCCCTTTTTACGCCCTAAAAAACAATGAGAAATCAACTGTTGTAAATTAAAACAAAATAAAATGAACAAAGTTTCACGGGTGATGGTTTCATATGGGTGCTTGAAAATGCCATTAACCCGGTCAGTAAATAGCACCGCACACAAAAATGTCATTATATTTTTCTATGTGCCGTAGTGATTATATCGATTCATCGAGTATTTATAACCAGAAATAGAGACGAAAGGCCATTTATTTTGTTTGAAAACTCTTCTGCCATATCATTACAGCGACAACTGAGGTCCAATTGGCCAGCCCGAATTCGAAACAATTGACGGGTGTCGTCATCTGTTTCACTTCAAATCTACCAGATAACTTGGGCTTTGTTCTAATGGACGAAAATCGAAAAGTTACATATTTAATATTTTAATACCGATGAAATGTGATTCCGTTTGTTTTGTAATTAGATGTTTTGCTGTTTATCTCACGCCACCGAACAAAGGCACTCGAATTTCCTGATATTTAACCTGTTCATAGACAGTAAATGTCTATCCACACATATTAACCGTAAAAATAAATAAAAGAATATGATAGATAATACGGGGTGCCCCGTGTCGCTAAATGGATCTCAAAGAACTAACTACGGGTTTTAGAGTGCAATTTCCAAGTGCTTGTTGCATAGTTGCCGCCTACTGCTTCTCCATAGAGAAGTATCAACAACATACTGATAAAATTCAATGACTTCGATACAACCTCAAATGGCTTTGGTTAATTCCGCATAACGGTGAAAGTGTTGAAAAAAATATTGCAAAAAATATGTAACAAAATGTTAAATGTTGAATATACACTGATTATTATACGGTGTGAAAATACGTTTCCCAAAAATTTTCACAATAGAAAAAAAAACACGAACTTACCTCGCAATTTTACTAGAAAACCGTTGTATTCAATAGGTACTTTACATATACCAATTATTTTTTTATATTAACTTGACTAAATAGAACACGTTTAGTATACGATATACATTTTTCAAGCGGTTTGAATTTTGTTTGTAAAAAAATAAATTCTGAAATAAATCCAGTGTCCCTGCTGCTCGGCCCAAGCAATATGAACCGTATTAGAACGGAAAAAAATTGAATTCGAGCTGAGGTAGTATGGACTCTTAACATTTTATGTTGAATCAATATGCTTGTACGAGGCACAACGGCACAAAAAAGTAGTGATATTTTTGTGTGAGACGATGTTTAAGTACTGTGCACGAACGGGTTAACGTAAGGAGACCACCAACGTCATTAATCATGTTGCGCTCTCAAAGACCTCACGACCCTAGATTTTAGCCTCTCTAAAGTATAAAATGGAAAACTACAATGGTGGCTGCGTAAATTCACAACGCGCATAACGTCGTCACCAATTCCAAAAATCTTTATCCAATTTCCTAAACGCTTCATTAATTTCAGTCTACCACGTGAAAGATGGTTACGTTCGAGGTAACATAACGAAGATCCGACTGGAATAAGCCCCTATTTACGTAGCTACTAGTAAAAGACGAAGGGTTGTCACCTGCCTTTTCATTTATCTAACCAACTTTTTCACCGTTTCTTATTTTTTATTTTAAGACTTTTCAAAATCGTAGGAGAGAAATAGCACATATTCGTCTTTTAATTTAATGTTTTACTAGCTGGTGTCCGCAACTTCGTCTGTATAGCATAAGTGACTACGTCGGGTAGCCTACTGTACAATTTACTATACCTACTTGACAAATGATTGGTTCTCCATACAAACTTTCATCCTCTTCAAAGTTTATTTTTTGACAAAAAGTAATCTATGTCCTTCTCGGTCTATCTCCATACCAAAATTTGGTTTAAAAAATAGTTTAGGTGGAAAAACGTAACAGACAGAGTTACTTTCGCATTTGCGCAAAATAAATTATTTAAAGATATACAAAATTTTTACAATTTATATGAGCAACCATCCCCTAAACTAGATAGGTATTACACCTGTGTTTTATATTAGTTTGGATTTATGGCAACAGACGTCAAATACATACAATAGAGAAAACATCGATACCTCCAGTGAACACTATGCCAACTTAATTCTTGGGCCTTTCTGTTTTTATTTTGTTTTTGTTTCTTAATTTTATTTTCACAAAATACGTTTTATTTGTTTTTTTTCGAATTTTGGTTTTTTGTTTCTATTTTTACAAATTCGGGGAGCATAATGTTAGTAAATAAATGTGGCTGTTTACAGAAAACGACCAAAAAATAATGTTGGCGTAGTGT